CTAAAGCTCCTTAGTCTAGACTGACTCCTCTCAACAGGTTGAGAGAAAACCAGACGCAACCCTGATAAGCAGCAAAATCACCTCCTCAAGCAAATTATGAAGATAGCTAAGCATGTTCTTATGTAAGTTCTTACATTCGTTATCCAATTCTACAAAACCGTGAAACTGTAGACCATTAGCTGAAGTGATCATTTTAAGTATGCAACTAAGAGACGAGACGAGACGAGAAGAGAAGAGAAGAGAAGAGAAGAGAAGAGAAGAGAAGAGAAGAGAAGAGAAGAGAAGAGAAGAGAAGAGAGTCCTGTGTGAATAGCATCTTGTTCTGCTTGCTGATTGAGTATTTAAGTGCAATACCCTTTTATTGCAGCTCGAGCTCTAGTTGGAGCTGGGTTAGTCTCATTAGAGCACTGAGACAGCAGGAAGAACAAAATTTGGCTCTTGATGTGTGTCAGGAGAGCACTGCGCCTCTCAAATCCTTCCTGAGCTGAGAGACTAGGAGAGAGAGACAGAAACAAGAAACAAATAAAGAAGCCGTTCAACGTTAAAGGGAAAGCTCACTTTTGTCACCATTTACTCATCTTCATGTTGTTCAAAGCCTGCGTTACTTTTTCTTTAACGCGATAAAAAAGGAGACATTCTGAAAATAATGTACTTGTCTTTTTTACATGCAGTTACAATGAAGAGAAATTAAAGCTATCAAGCTTCAAAAGGACACAAAAGCACCATGAAAGTATCCCTAAAGTGGTCCATATGAAAGCTATATGATGATTGAGCTTTGTGCATCCCCGTTCACTGAAAATCAGCTGACTCTGCTCTACCTCTCATTGACAGTTGAGAGAAGTAGCACTCTCCAATTCATGAACAGATTATTCTTTTTGATGTGCTTTTTTCAGTGAGCCAATTGATCTGGTTCAGGAATGAACAAGCAGCCTCTCATCAGCACCGAGGCACAGGCCTCCCATCAAAACCAGTATCATCATATTTTGATAATATATTTATAGTGTTGTGGATATATGGCTGAATAATATCTTTTCACACAGTAGGGAGTCGTTCACAAACTGCACATGCGATAAATAGCTACTTCATCGCTGACAAACAATAGAAGTCATTTGCAAGTTCTTTTTCCTTTGTACAGTAGGTAAATATCCACCTCCAGTGCTCTTTTCGTTTTCTGTTCTTATAAAATATCCCATTATATGGTGTGAGAAACTGCTGCCAATGATTCAGTGCATGAGTAAACACGAAAAAACAAAACAAAAATAATTGTAGGACTTTTTGCAAACCCATCAAACCCAATTAAATCAAAAGAGTGATTAATTCACAATAAGACACAATTATTTCTAACACACATGATTGTTAAAATATTAACAGAAAAACAATTTTACGTCAGTACACAGTAATCTTTGGGCGTCCCGAGTTCGAATCCCAGTTCGTGGACCTTTTCCGATCCCGCCCCATCTTTCTTTCCCACTTGGCTTCCTGTCATTACACTATATCTGAATAAAGGCAAAAACAAATCTTAAATAAATAATTAAATACATTAAAATGATCTGGTCTTCGCAGTTAACAGCTCACTGGAGGGGAAGATTATCAATCAACTACAATGTCAATTTTGGTCTGTTTCTCAAACAAAGCTATATAATGACTTCAGAAGCATTTGTATGAAACTTGCTTTCGAACCCTACTTTGAAGCTTGAAAGCAGTAGATTCGTTTCAGCCACATGAAAAGAGTGACTAGCACAGCCTTTTTTTGTGTTGCACAGAGGAAAGGCCATCACACAGGTTTAAAATGACGTGAGGTGAGTAAATGATGATATAATTTTTAATTTTAAGCAAATCTTCTCATTAATGCATCTTAGAAAGAGGCAGAGGGGGAAAAAACCAAGCAGTGCTTGGAGGCTACATGTGGCTTGCGGGTTTGCGTACATGCACACAAAAAGCCGTCTGTCAGTGTCCGTGAGGTATGTGGTGTAAATGTCCTTGCTGCTGAGCGCCTGCATGCAGCACTGAAGTTTCCGCTCTTCCTTTTAGAAACCATTCTGAATATGAATAAAAAATGAGCTGAGAGCACAAGAGAAAAAGAGACTGCAAAAGAGGATGAGAACAAGACAAAGAGCTGGTGAGTCTTGAGAGAGTGGGTGGAAGATAAATTGCAGAAGTAGAGTGAACTTCGAGAAGAACGGAAGAACACACACTGTACAGGAGGGGGGTGAGCATGGAGAAAGGTGCCTGCATGAGAAAGAAATGACTGCGGGTTCCTTCAAGAAATGTGGCAGAAAGACTTGTTGTTGTTAAGGTGCTACATATACAAAAAAAAAATCTGCTGTAGAAATGTATTAATATATTAGCCGTGGGAGAGGCAAATCTCAGATGTCTAATGAAGTTCACACATCCCCTCCTTAAAAATTATTAGCATGCTTCTATGATGATGATTCAAAAGACACACAGCAGCACTAGTTGTTCACTAGAATACGGGTTCAAAGCATAAAACTTTCAATAATCAATTTTTTTTTCAATAATCAATCCTTCAGCAGGTAATTTTTTCCAAGGTGACTTAAAAATGAAACACAGAAATGGGTTTCAAAATAATACAAAGCTGGAGCAGAATACTAGGTGTTTTCTTGATTATAATAATGATGATAAAAAATTATAGTAATTATCTTTATGTACCGTATGTAATACGTACCCATATCTAATAGTAGGGGTGGGCGATTTGACCAAAATCTACATATCACCAATTTTTTCACGGTAGCGATATATATCACAATACAGTTATTTTTGCTTTAAATAAGGCCCTTATGATATCAACATTTTTGATACCACAGACATTTCAAAAATTTTGCAAGCAGTGTCAATATCACAAAAAAAACTAATACTAGCCTAAATAAAAAACAAAAAAAAACCTCAAGCTCACTGAAGACAAGTAAACAGTCAGCGATTAAATAAGAATACGATACTAATTACAAGCAATAGGACAAAAAACTATAGTAGAACAAATAAATAAGAAAAGCTACATACATTGTATAAAGTAATCAAATGAATAAAAACACTGCATATTCTTCACTGTGTAAATTAAATATATATTTCTTCTTATTAAAGTTACAAAAGTGATTTAATCAAGAGCAGTGAGAGATTTTCTCTTTTGTTGTTTGATTTACATGAATGACAGACAGCAGGAATATTAGACTGCTGTCACTTTAAGAGCTGCCAAATTACTGTGTTTACAAGGATACTTGCAAAGATGGGCATTTTGACACATACAAGTGTGCATATTTAACCATTCAAGGCCTATAAAGCAGCAAAAATAATTCCGTTCAATACTCCTGCGTTGTATGAGCACTGTTTTCATGTGTGCGCGCCTCTCTGACAGTGCTCAGAATTAGTCTCTCAGACAAGCGTGCGCATATAGCGAAATGAGTTCTCTTTCGTTGCTGATTGAATTTCAATGGTTTAAAATCACTTGTTTTTTAACCACAATGTTTAAAAATGCATGCATTTCGTGATGGTTAATCGTGTATACCGGTATATCTAACTTGATCATAACCATGAATTCAAGTTCTCAGATCAGACCTGCATGACGCAAAAGGATGCCATTTTGACCGATTACGTGGTCTCTATCCTGAGCTGTGTTTATTCAGCAGGTTTATTCAACAGTGGTGAAATGCTAAGATTCCTTTGTTGACAGAATAATTGTACATCACAATTGTTTGTACCCATTACAGTAAGCCAGACTCCCCACCTGACATGCAGGATATAGCTGCTGACCTTCCTAATGTGCCTGACAGCTTTGTTTACCGTCTACTCTTTGGCAGGAGCACAGTGCTTGATGATTTGTCCAAAGTAAATGCATTCTACAGTGATATGAGAAATACCTCATACAAGTGTAAGCTAAGACTGACTCATTAGACCACAGACACACTCCCATCACAGAGGTTTACATTTTTGTAGTCTCAATGGAGTAAATCTAGAATCCTGTTTATATAACACTGTGTTAATGCTGTTAAACAGAGAGCTACTGACTGGTATTTGTATATGGAGACTTAGAATGAAACAATTCCCGACTGCAGGATGAGTTTATTATTTACATTCAATCTTAATGTAGCTTATATTTACAAAGGACTGTTGATGGCAAGCCCAAGGTTTGGGGGGTTAGCCCATCTACCTGAACATGAGCTGTTCAAATGTCTGGGGTGAGTAAGAAATAAGAAATTAATTTTCTTAAAAAAATTCAAATTTTAAATTTAAAGTAATAGTGACATTTATAATGTTACAAAAGTTTTATATTTCAAATAAATGCTGTTCTTTTGAAGTTTTGTTTGAACTATTCAAGGAATCCTGATAAAAAAAGTATCATGGTTTGTAAAAAAAAGTTTGTAAAAAATCTTACCAACCCCAACCCCAAACACATGAACAGTATATCTTGCTTTAAATGTGAAAAGTTGCATGTTGAAACCTTTTTAAAATAAACCAATCAAAATGACAGGTACCAGTACATGTATATCATTAATGGCTGTGTGTTTGGTTGCCAGGCAAAACAGAAGAAATAGTTCCCTTTCAATTCCTGAGTTTGAATTTGAATTGAATTGGCCACAGAATTTGAATGACAGAGAGAAATGTACTAGATTGCAATATTAAAGTCAAGTCAAGTCAAGTCACCTTTATTTATATAGCGTTTTTAACAATACAGATTGTGTCAAAGCAACTGAACAGCATTAATTAGGAGAATTAATGCTGAATTAATAAAGAAATGTAACACAGGTGATGCATTCTATAAAATGAAGTGTTCTTCACAAAAGTTAATTAAATGATGAAATGTCTATTATATCTTCAATCCTTCAAACTACAAGGATTTGTACATTCAATTTCAATTTATCTTAATTCTACTTCCTTACATTCAAATGGCAAATCTGCAAACTGTTTACCACCTCAATTCAAATTCAGGAATTCAGGAACTGAATTGGAATTTTAAAGGTCTTCTCAATTCTAAATGGCACACAAACCTGTTGACTGCATTTTTGGACTTGACAGCTATGTGCGGCTCAGGCTCCACCATCGACTAAAGGGAAAGAAAGAAAGAACACTGTTACAGACTTCAAAGTTTATCGACGACTTGTAAGGTGAGGATTCACAGCAAAGTAATCTCAGATATCTTACTACAGCCACCACCTTCAGCAAACATGAAAAGAGATCATATAAATCACAGATCTTCAGGGAAGCTGAGATAAAAGACAAGCTTACAACCTCTTGTTGACAGCATTTCAAAACAAAAGCAAATCTGTAGTGTACAGAAGCAGAATTCATGTTAGGTCAGCAAAACAAGTCAAAGCGTTCTTGCTTATGTATGCAAATTACTGTAACATTTACGAAGCAAAAATGCACTGAACGGTTAACGTTTTCCAACTCACTCATAAAGTGTTTTGTGCTGTCCACATTAAGACCGACCCCCCCAATAGCGCTCTTAGCATCAGTCTAAATTACATTCAGTTAACAGGGTTGATTACTTTCAGTGTTGCTGGTTGTTATGGTTTGGATTTGATCTTGCTCCATTAGCAGGTGATTACCAGGTGAGTGCAGTAATAAAACAGACACAGCATACGGAAAAAAAGACAGAGGTAAAAACAGCAGCAGTCTGTTTATCTTTCCTGCTCAGTCCCACCGATCATCTCCCTCAGAGTGCATTAATTACTCCAGAATAAGAATAATCTTAAGGAATTAAGCATAATACGGCTTAATTCCACTGATGGTGAAAGCTGTATGTGCATTACAGCACAAGCGGATCTTACCATCCTTCCGGTCTCGCTTATTTCCTTCTATTCCCTCCATAGCATTCTATTGTTACACATAATGTATTCCATTATACAGAGTGCCATTCCTAGCCATTTACTTCCATTCATTTTCATTCTGTTCTATTCCATTCCATCGGTGAAAGCTGATATCTCATTGCTGCCATTGTGGCTGGTAACTGCATCCAACATCCTGATTGGATTGAAGGTGGGAGTGAACACTGGCAGGAGCCCAAAGTCTGGTGGCCCTGTGTTCGGCCACCCTCTCAGGTTCACACACACCCACAAAGGCTGTCCTTTAAGGCCCACGGAAGAGTTCACCGTCGAACAAGCACAGGTCTGCCATTCCCAGTGGGTAATTATTGCTTGCTGCAAGCCTACAGACATATACTGAATGTTATCTCAAGACCACTTTTAAGTCGCTATTATTCGCTTTCTGCCTCCTTTCAGGGGCATCTTTCTCAGGGTCCTCTGTGTCTCTCGCGCACAATCAGTTCTTCATTATCCCAGGTCAGATTCAGTAAATGTCTACCCTTCAATAAAGAGACTGAAAAAGAGGGTGAGACGGCTGCTTTACTGCTGTGAAGGATATCTGATGAAATGGGTTATAACTGAATTAGTGAATGAATCAACAGATTTTATTTAATCAAATTCATAAATTCACAAAGACTCATGATTGGCTCTCATGGTACACTCTAAAAAATGCTGGGTTGTTTCAACCCAACTTTGGGTCAAATATGGACTAACCCAACCATTGGGTAAAATGTTTACATTCAATTTTTAACCCAAAAGTTGGGTTAGTCCATATTTGACCCAAAGTTGGGTTGAAACAACCCAGCATTTTTTAGAGTGTAGATAGGGATCTTTCCTCTAGAGTCATGCATGCAGAAATCCAGTGAAAATTGTTGAAATTGAAAAAAAAAAAAATCAGTTACTAGTTTCTCACACAAAACAGAACTTCTACAGCTTTTCATGTTGCTTCATACTGGCTGTCTTCTTGGACAAGAGCTCTACTGCTTTCCTCAACAGTTCTCCAAACCCTCGCTGGAAAAAAATGACACTTTCTCCTCCATTTGCTAAACCACATGGACCATTGCAGATCATTACGAAGTGTTCAAGGCCCCTTGAGACATAAGAAGACTGTGGAAGCTGTCTGCATTAGTCAGGTCTCCATCATGAAGAGCAGACCAAAAGACTGACCTTGAATAATGGCCACGACACCATTAGTGCACCATTATAAATCTCTAACTGTCAGCAGCCAGCCTCTTTATCTTGGTTATGTGCGATAAAGCCAAAAAGTCTATAATTAGCCTGGCCAAGGTCCCATTAATTCCACTTTAAACTTTATGAGCCACAATACATAGGCTAGCTTGTTTTGTCTTCTGTAATTCACTATATTAACTAAATAGTCATATATAGGCTACCATTGCATTCAAATAAAATTACCGAAAACAATGTTTTGATCACACTGCCCACACCTAGATCTTTACAGGGCCTCATTTATTCTATTTTGGACTATATGAAGAATTAAGATCATGAACAGAAACACACAGACTGCAAAATACATTACCGAGAGTAACCAAGTAGTCAACATTCAACAGTCAAAAACACTGACCTTAACACACAAGGAAAATGTGTAACAGATGCCTCACAGATGCAAACTGGGTAAATAATGTTTTGTATTCTGATTAAAATACAGTTAACATTGGCTGGCAGCATATCACATTGTTTATTACTTAGCAGAGCTGATGAAACCAGAGACTTGCACTGAAAACTAAATAATCAACACATAAGATGAAATCATCAGATGAAAGGAGTATTCAATGAAGCCCGTCTGACTTCACAGAGGAAATTAACAGATATCCTGCTCATTTTTCCGACTTTGAAGCATACCCTACTGCCACATAAAACTCCATACAATCTCCTACATATGAGCTACTGATAATGAAAACTGCTCAAACAATTGCCGGTTCCACAATTAAATACTGAGGGTGCTTCATAGTGTTCTCTAGCCTCAATGCACATACATTTTCACATATACTTTTGTCCCATCCATTGCTCTTTTGAATGTGATTCCCCTATTAAAATGTGGGTGTCATTTCCAAAACTGTGCAGCGTGTATGTGGCAGAAAAACAGAAGTTTTATACAAATTCTGAATGGATTATATATACAAAGCCTAGAAAGCAAAGCACACAAAGAGCACTCCCTTTATAATCACTAAAAAGCTGTCATCATTCTTAGTTCTTCGCGATCTCATTACGTTTTGTTATAATGAGAGAATTCAGCAATGGACAAAAACTTGAGCGGTGAGTGGATTCTAACATAAACACCTCTGATCGGCATTTAAGAAATCAGCAGATATGTCTGTGATTGGGTACATTGCTCAACGCTGCAAAAACACAATGTAAATAGAAACCTTTTGACGCTCTCCAGAGTGCAAACACAAATATGCACTGGATAGTTTGCCAGATCGGTGTCGCCAATAGGATAGTGAATAGAGAATATCTCGAGTTTTTCCCGTGGGTGCTCAGCCATTCTGTATCGGTGCTTATGCACCATTAGTTTCATAAAAAATGACTAAAAAAATATTTTGGTTATACTGGCCACCCCTAGATCTGTATGTGGCCTTTTACTCAGTTTCACTTCACCTCCACTGTGACAATCCATCCTACATTATGATCTTAAAAGGCCAGATCCTCAGTCCCCCCCACAGAGTGCATTAACATGGTCATTAATCAACTGACCTACAGTTCATCACCCATGCTGTAAAATAAAATTAGTCATGGCTTAGAGCTGTGAAAAGCTGACAAAACTTAGACTCAGAAGCATCTGGAGGCCAGCTTTCAAACACTCCCTGTTCACACCTTCACAAGAACACACAGACTGCACCCTGTAGTTAATTCCAATGGGCACATAGAAGTTCATCTGTATCAATCACTTGGGATTTGAAAACATCTGGCCAGGCTTTTTAAATGTTGTATTTTGAAACAGAGGCTAATTTAGATGCAAATCATTAGAATAACTGGCCAGATTGCCAAGTGATTGATTCATAAAACAGTTATGCATGAGGTAAATTTAAATTATGTAAAGGATAACACAGTCAGCCCATCATTACTACAAAAAAATTTCGATTGGGACCTGATGCACTTACCAAATGCACTTTAAATGTTAATATAAACTGAAATTATTTTAATATGTGACAAGAGACCAATGTGTACTATGAGAGATATGAAACAAGCACAACTATGCAAGAAATTGGTAGGCAGGGACAACTGTCAATTATCTAATAATTTAATGAAGTTTTATCATTTTAAAAATCTGCATACATTTAGGAAACCAAAATCGACGTTTTTTGAGGAAGCCAACACAAAAAAAAGAAAGAAATAGAAAGAAATATTGCTCTGTACTCTCATATCCCACCACCTGTCCAAACAGCGATTACTTGAGTATTATTTACTGAAAAAGCTCAGTGTTGCTGATAATCCGGGACTAAGCTGAAAATCTGGCTGAGATGTATACGGCTGCTCTGCAGTCAACCCATTCTTCAGGCTTTCCTTGTAACAGATCAAAAAAAAGCTCAATAGATTATCCTTTCTCCATGGATGAAGAGAGATACAGAGGAAAAGTCTTATGTTTGTTGATATATAAGGCTATAGAATGACTGAGTACAGCATGTTTAGTGCGGTGAACATCTATAGTTATGGTGAAGAGTGTAATTTTTACATTACTAGCATCAATTGTGAAAAAGTGATTATTTTCAAACAGGTTTCCCAAACACTTCCCCGTCATTGGTCAAGCAAACCGATAGCCCTACTCCAAACTCACACCATCGGTTGAGCCGATGTTGCTATGCTGGGCTGGTCGGGATGTGCAAACAAACAAAACAAGCAAAGTTTTGATAGCACCACAACATTTACGCTTCTTGAGGCATTCAACCTACAAATAGCTTGCTTATATTTGTCTCTGCATATTAAGCTGGAGTAGGAAATAGTATTTTACATTGGAAAAAATAACAGGCTTTCTGGAGTTTCTGAATACCCTGGTAACTCGATCAGTAAGTTCCAGCCTTTCATTGAGCGAAGGGTAACGCTGCTGAATTTTTTAGCTAAAACCATTTTCTGAGCCAAGCATTAGCAACAGATTTATGCTTATGCTGGCATGACTGCACATCCTCCGACAGCCCAGGCATCTTAAATGCAAACATTACTAACTGCAACTCGAAGAGCTTAGTGTGATTTTCTTCAAGATGATTTCATCTCACACTGATGCTGG